ATTACCGGTTTACGCGCTGGTAATCTTAAGGGATATATTCAAAGGATTCCTTGCATAAGCATGCAAAAGTGGAACTGAAGTCATCCAAATAAAAGTACCATCCTTGATTCCAAAGGTCAGCGTCGTCAGAGATTTGGCGAGTGCGAAGCTCCTTCCCCTCTGAGACTAGGTCAGAGCCCTTCATTGAGTGGAAACCCAGTGTTATAGAGAGGATCCTCTGAACGGCTGAAGGTTAGCAGTGCCTCAGCTTGTTGAGAAGCATCTCCGGATGGGAAAAATTATTTTCTCGCAAAACATACTTTTCTTGAATTAGCCCATGGAGTGAATTGTGGTCTCATTGCATTTCTTTGTTATCGCCTTTGAGTATGGTTGCAAAATCCTGATTCAGGGATCAAAACTGTACGGTGCCGGTGCTTTCTGGCGTGTCCCTATGTAAGCCATCTCGGAATCGAGACGTGAAATTCTAAAGCGAAGACCGCCTATTCGATCCACTGCCACCCACCGTAGGCATGCTCCTTCACTCCGTCCGTCTTTTCACTACTCACATCCAGCTGGCTTCCCCTCCCCCAATCTAAAGGACATCGAGTACGATGCCAGCCGGATTTTATTCACCAGCACCGCTTTCCTGGATACAAGCCTCGCCCACCGTCGGACGTTTTCAGCTCGGCGCTCTCCACATCCTGAACATGATGCAGCCTCTCTAGGTACATCACGTAATGTCGAATTTTCGAGCAGACAAACAAGCAGGGAATAAAAAGAGAGGCAGGGTGGCGCCTTGTAAATCCAAGTATAGCAAGGATATCCTGCGTGTGACGTTGATCAGCAATCGAACTCGATGATATAAGCGAACATAAAAATCAGAGCACCTGTAGTTGAAAAGGACGCTGCTTCTTTTTCCAGGAAGTGTGTCTGAAATGATGTATGCGGCGATCGTCGAATATTCACTGATCGCAGCCGCAGTGATGTACATCGTATGGAAAAATATAGGCAGAGTTCACTATAGCTCAGAGTACGTGAAACGGAAATATCATATTCGAATGGATTGCTCAAACACAACAACAGGTGAGGATGGGCAGTTTCTTCGGTTGACCCACAAGTGATTGCCGTTTTTAAAAAAATTGAAATCAATTAATTTCACACAAGAGTGTTACTTTACTACTTGAGCTTCCGTGCATGGTCCTATTGTGAAACCCTGTAAGCGCAGATGGGTAGAGTACAGCGGTCTCCAAAGCATCTGAAGGTTCAGAAACATGCGGCAAGCCAGGGGATGGGTTTTTCGATGGAAGGGGCCTCCTGTGTATGTAAGCTACTAATCATG